TTTTCATTTGATATTTGATTTCAAGAGGCGGCATTGCATTTTGACATTTCCCTCTCCCTCTCCTCTCTCTCTCTCTCACTCTCTCTCTCACACCCTCTCTCTCTCACTATCTCTCTCTCTCTCTCTCTCTCTATATATATATATATATATAATCACTCGTTTAATTCAGCAATATTAACTTTAGCAAAAAATGGTCTTATACAAACCCCAATTAATTTTGGCTAGAAATCGCGAGTAGTAATATATTTGACATAAATTTTTCATCTAGCTGGGAAATGACACTAAATTTGTTATTTTAAATAAGAATCCCATATTTTTATTGTACAATTTTGTTCTAGAGTTTATTTTACTGAAAGGAAAATTTTGATAGGATCAACCATTTGTAAGTTATGCACAACGGAAAACGCGTGAGAGCATATGTTTTTGTAACATAAAGATGACCTATACCCGTTCATTTAGAAAACGTTTAACTTTAGCAAAAAATGATCTTATACAAACCCTGTTATTGATTTACATATTTGAGAATTTATTGTAAGCATAAATTTTATTAAATGGGCAAATATGCACAATACATAATTAAAAACAAATTCACTAATTTCGTGGTCCGCTTGACCAATTAATATATTACAATTAATTAAGGTTTTTAGTTGAGATAAAAAAGTCAATGGCACGAGCGGGATTCGAACCCACGATCTTCGGCTAGATACGCCGCTACTCTACCATTTGAGCTATCATGACTTCGATCCACTCGGACACTAACTTCCCATCTCAACCCCACCTTTTGAATTTTCCCTCCTTTTTGCGAGTCAGTCACGATAGCTCAAGTGGTGGCCCTCTTGGTGCCTAAATGGCAACCCTCCAAATGTTGTTCCACACGAGCTTAAAAGTCCGGTGGCTAATGCGGAAACGTAAAGGAAAAAAACCTTTATCCCTACCCTATTCCGACACCATTTCTATCCTAAATTACCTATATTAACTTGTTTACATAAATCGTTTTTGAAATAAACGGGGTGGGCTATCTTGTTACTACAAGCATACCCCTTAGATCTCTTCTCTCTACAATTATTTAGTCGAGGATCGACGGCTTCTTAAAAATTATACACTCTTCTAGAATAAATATTAAGCTTATTTATAATAATTCGAGGACAAGCTCAATAAAACATTAATAATTGATTCTGTCAAAAATTGGAGAAAAAAAGCATAACTGTTCAAGCAACTAGCGAAATTGTTAAATTAAGAGGAACGGATCCTCGACCAGTTCACAGCTCAACATTGGTTTTAAAAATGTAACAAATGTGTTACACGCCCTTAGGAAAGTAGAAGGGGTCAGGACGACCATCAATGAATATAGATCAGTTTTCGGAGCAAGCTGTATATACAAGTCCAGCCACACCTACTCGAGTTCTTTCCAGGGAATAGGGAGTATTGAAAGACACTAGTTGCATTTCTACAACACAGGGTAACGAAAAGAAGTAGTTCAATCTCAGGTGTGCGTTCTAGCCGTTTCCTGAAAGGTAAAAACTTGAAAAAATCTTTTAAAAAGCCTCAAGCTTTTCAAGGTTTATGAAAAGGTTATGTGTGATGGAAAGTGTTCAGATTAGGTTAACAGTAAAAGGTTTTATTCCTACAAACCACACAATATAAAGATTGAACAACATATTCAATCCATCATTTATCATTTCTATAGACCACACACTTTCCAGGACTAAGAGAAAGTTCAGTTGACTGTGTTTATCATGTTTTCAAAAATCTGAATTGATTTTCGGTAGAAGTTCCAAGGAGTGCTACCAGTGTGCGGTCGAGATGAGTGCTATGGACTATATTTTGAATTATTTTATGACTAAATAAATACAATATATTGATTGTTTTGTACATTTCTTCTAAATACGAGGAATTTTTTGTGGTCTCAGGATCTTGCATATTAGCCTGAGGTCAAGTCGTAAGATATATACGTATGTTAACTTTTTGGGGAGGGAAAGGGGTGCGTAAAAACAGGCCGACAGTGGGAATCGAACCCACGATCGCGAGGTCTTCGAGCCGAGAACTTATCACGCTAAGACTCGGCTACCGCTCAACCTGAGTAAATTACAATCTTTAACAAAAAGATGTAAAAGTTGATTTTAAAAAAAGTTGTTTAAGTAAAGGTTTTGAATTTATTAACAATTGGATATTGAACTGAGATGGGATTTTAGCAATTCTCTGGAATATTCAGCCCTTATTTCCGTTATAGCAAAATTATATTTAATTTTAAAATCTCCCTGTACAAGGAATTCTTCAAAAGATTTGCCGTAGTTGTAAAAAGTAGTTCGTTTCCGCAGTTTTTCCTGGCCCTCGGGTGAAAATATGGATGTCGTTAAAGAAGTTTCCAAGTCTCGAAGAGTGTGATGTCATTAGTAGTTTTATTCCGCCTCCGGGTAAAGGGACGGAAACGAGGCCATTTATCGAATTTAACCAATCTTCGGCCTCGGTTGCGATTCATATTGGCGTGAGGTAACAATTTCGTCGTTCATACCGCGGCTTTGAATTCTTGGTGAATTCTTCCGATCCCGAGCAAAATATATGATGGCAAGCCTCATTCACGCCCTTACGCCATAAATCAACAATACACTTAACAAACTCATGAGATAGGCTCCCAAGTTTTATACATGCAAATTAAGCTTCAAATCAACCAATACGATGCGATTATCAATCTTATACCTGGCCTTTAGCATCTGGACAGGTGAATAATATTAATTTTTGATAAGCAATTAATATGAAATGATGTTGGTGACGCGTTGTATTTGCCTAATGATTTAATGGTTAGGGTTGCCCGTAACCCTCTTCGGGTCAGCAAACACAAATGTTTGAATGGACTATCAAAGCTGTTTGGCATCCATTCAACCTAGTTTTAAATCAAATACGGACATGACTAATCCCAATTATATGTACTGACAGCTAATTTTATCCCATTAAGCGTACACATGATGAGTCAACATGACTACATACATAAATTTTAAGGTTAAAATGATAAAAAAGGTACTGGCTGGACTAGGTACATCTAAAAAATGTAACATTTATTTATGAGGTTTACGGGGTGATGAAACTATAGGTTGGTCGTTTCCGTTCATTTTGATCAGCGGTTCCTCGCTGTTTTTGCGTGTAGGCTTCTCCTCATATTCAATAAAATTTATGCATTCCTAATACGTTTATTTTTGTAATTATTAATTTTTGTAGAGTTCAAATCTTCTTTAAGGTCTTTACTAGGTGAAAGAAAGACAAAAGTGTTGGGATCACAAAGCTTTCGGCAACATTATGTTGCCATCATCAGGGCCTATTTATTAATAAAAAATAAACATAATTAATATAAATTTAACAAGCAACAATTAAAACAACAATGCATACTTTCCCCAGAGAGAAGAGAAAAAAATTCTCATCGGAAAAAACTAATGTGAAAGTGCTTTGGTTTAGGTTATGAAGCACATGGCCAGCATTCAGTTACACATGGTGAACTAGACATCTATGTAAAGTAGTGAGTAATTATTCGCATATAACATTAACAATTGACAAAAATAATAATTTATATATATATGATAACATTTTTTAAAAATTACCTCACTAATGAATTCATATAGTTACAAGTCCAACTGTTTTTGTTCTTACTAGCTATTTTTGACATTAAAAACACATGTTATCACAGAGTATTACTTTACTCTCTTCATTAGAGAATTACAAAATTAATGCTTAATAAAATAATTGTAAAAATTGCTTATAAATACAAAAATAATCTTTCTAGTCTTCATGCCGTTTTAAAGTCAAAAGAGCCTGTTGGCACACAATCTAATGTGGTTTATAGGGTGTCCTGTGGTGGTTGCGACGCTCAATATGTTGGACAAACAAAGCATAAAATTCATATTAGAATGAACCAACATAGATTGGATTGTATTCATAATAAGTTGACCACAGGGTTGTTCTCTCATGCTACAAAGAATGGTCATTTTTTCAAGTTGGACTCCCCGGAGATCTTGGGTCGAGAGGTCGGCTTTGAGAGAAGACTCTTGTTGGAAAAGGTATATATCCATTTAACGAGGAGTGCCTGCAATTTAAATGGTGACGAACTAGGTTCCTTCTCAACATTTGCGGGATTATTGGAAATTTATAATAAACGAAAAAAAGGTGGCGACCGTTAGAGGGCGCATAATGAAGAGTGCACAGAGCCTGGTAGCCTTCACTAACTGTAACAGTCCAACCTTAGGTGAGGCGACGTTGTGTTCTCAACTTAATTGTAATCCTTTGTAGATATCATTTTAACAAGCTGTAATTTTAGTCATTAAAGTAATACTCTCTGATAACATAAGTTTTTAAAGCCAAAAATAGCTAGTAAGAACAAAAACAGTTGGACTTGTAATTATATGAATTCATTAGAGAGGTAATTTAAAAAAAATGTTATTATTTTTGTCAATTGTTAATTATTCAGATATCGATTAACGGGCACTAATCTCAATTGTTAATTTTATGTGCGAATAATTACTCACTACTTTACATAGATGTCTTGTTCACCATATATAACTGAATGCTGGCCATGTGATTCATAACCTAAACCAAAGCACTTTTACATTAGTTTTTTTCCGATGAGAATTTTTTCTCTTCTCTCTTGGGAAAGTATGCATTGTTGTTTTAATTATTGATTGTTAAATTTATATTAATTATGTATATTTTTTCTTAATAAATAGGCCCTGATGATGGCAACATAATGTTGCCGAAATCTTGGTGATCCCAACACTTTTGTCTTTCTTTCACCTAGTAAAGACCTTAAAGAAGATTTGAACTCTACATTGATTATCTGCAGGTCGATCTAGAAACATCATTATTAATTTTTCTCGATGTTCGCTGAGGACCACGGTTTGGGAACCCATTAAGTAATATGCTGGCCCTGACTCTTTAATGTCTGTACTACTCTGTTATGACTAATAAAACAAACACAATTGGCGCAAAACTTAATTTCGACCAGAGAGATTTAACTTATGGGTAAGTGTTCATTACCCGTTTTAATGTAAGGTTAACAAAAATTCAAATACATATGCAATTGAATTACGTTTGAGTGAGTAAATTGCAAACAGAAAAGGATCAAGAATTTTCTCGTTTTTACTTTAGTGATACCCAAAAAGTTAGATTTACCCGATTGATTTAGGTCGAAGGTCTTAGGATATTTCTTCAATGATATACGGACGTTTATTTTCAATTTAAGCTTTAAGCTTATTGACGGAGACTTTCACGTACGCTATTTGTCCAACCGAGCCTTTTTTCGAATATTGGCAAATCCCCTCTGACACGAGATTTTTCTCTGCGGAGTATACTTTCTCCTGTAGGAATAGGGCCCCTGGTTGAAAAGGGGTGGTAACAGCAGAATGACTTAATTGCCCCGGCGCGGCGGGTTCAATTGGCTCTCCTATTAATTCTTCTGAAGCATCGCAAAGTCATAAAAAAGCGTTTCGCCAAACAGCCGATTGCATGACTAAAAAGAAATACCTAAAGTAAACACACAAAAGTTTCATTAATTTTTTGGATCATAGAATAACAACAGATTTACTGTCAGAACAGTGCGAATATCTCAGTATAAATGAATTCACTAAAATTTTTCCTGTAAGTTAGAAAACTGTATAACTAGATGCTATTAAAAGTATGGATGTTGTTATCATCAAGTACAATCACATGAAGGTTAAATATGTTTTTAGATTCAAAAAGTAAACTAATTAACTTTTTGCATTTTTGATCATTTCTTATAACGAGTCGAGCATAACGACGGTTGTCAATGCCTTTTCAAATTTTTCCCTTTTCGCCAAATAGCATTGAATTGTCGCAAATCTGTTTCGCTTAAAGAGAGTACTAGGGGTCTCATCTTCAGGCCAGTATTGGGGGAAGGAAAATCATCTAAATGTAAATGTACGCCACGCGTGCACAAAATAGAAATGTCGAGAAAGGGCGGGGATATTGCTGTGTAGTCCCTTTGATATTTCTTCAATTTTGTCGTCGTAATCAATTTGCCGACTCCGCAATTGAATTTGGGCCTCGACATCAATTTGTGGTGAACTTTGAACCCGCGAGTATTTTGTTTCACGGGCTTCGAAATTTGCATAAGATAAAGCTTTATGGTCATGTGTAATGTTCGCACCCAGATAGGCTATGTACAAACTATTCAAATTCTTGAATTTCAGTTATGTCGTTTACAAAATTAAACAAAAACGTACGTATAGTAAATGAAGGAAGTTGAGGCAGGCAACCCAATAAAATTAAAACAATAAAATGTCGAAATGTATTGCAAATTCTTCATAACTAAACATAAATCAAATGCAAAATATTTACTGTGTTTTACTAATTTTGTTTAAGCACTTTCAATATTAAGCTTCATCTATGACGTTAATAGTAATAATAGTACAATATTAGTTTATAAACTGTACAATTTACTGTACAATAATAAAAAATCAATTATTTGATGTAATTGATTAGTATTTTAACAATTTGTCCATTCTGTAGAAGAGGGACATTATTACGGTGCAGTTTGGTCGTAACCGATCATTTTGTAACGATGTTTTCGTCTGTCAGACCCACTTCGATCTTTCGCCATCTTCAGAGGTTGGTTTTTAAGAAGAAATCTTATATTTTCAATTGATTAATTAAATATTGTCAAATTTTTTAAACAAAAGATAATATTGAGGTTTTCGTGACCTTTTTCCATGTTATTATCAGAAAGACTTTCGACTGAACGGAAAACACACAGACCCAACTCTAAAGATGAAAAAATGCACAAACGCATCTGTCAGATCAAGAGAGGCAGATCACAATTTTTGGTTATTATATATATATAATATGTATGTGTGTGTGTGTGTGTGTGTGTGTGTGTGTGTGTGTGTGTGTGTGTGTGTGTGTGTGTGTGTGTGTGTTTTAATCATAAAAACGAAAACTACTCAACCGATTTAGATGAAACTTTCACACTTTGTTTTTATTAGTGCCGCGCCGGTTTAGAGACTACAAAAAGGGCTAAACTATAAAATAAATAATGAGCGTCATGATTTACAAAAAAAGAGAAATAATATTTTTTATTGCCTCTTTGGGTAACGCCGGGTTATAAAACTTTTTACTAATAAATGAGAAAATGCTTCTCCATGGATAAATTTTTTTTCACTCTTTAATTTGCTGACTAAAAAACTGACTAAGTATGCAACTATATCAAACATAACAGCACACTGCATTGTCAAATTTGAACTCGGTAAAAAAAAACTTTCTCATTATAAATGTTATCAGGGAATGATACCCAAATGATTAATGTAGGAATTTAAAATTTTCTGTCAGGAAGAATCTAAAATAAATCTAAAAAATTACCTAGATCTAAATATACTTAATTTATCAGTAAAACTTACAAAAAAATAAAAAAATAAATAAAATAATATTAAAAAAACCACTTCTATACGAATTTTGATCTGAGACGATTCAGGGTAAATATAAAATTTTATAACAGTCCACAATGTTATATTTTGACCAAAATACCCTGATGAACGAAATTATTTAATTAAATACAATTTTCAATTAATGAGTATCTTTACTATACGAAATAGCAGAGAGACATAAATTTTATACTTTGTAACTTATTGTTCACAACAAAATGGTCTTTTAAATTGTTAAATTTACTCTATACTGAATTCTAAAATTGTTAATTAGTATGATTTTTCATAATAAGAAATCCATACCTCATAACATTAGGCTTTCATCAAAAGATCTCTAAGAAATCCTCAGAAATGTTATCCGAGTAGGCAATAACAGGCTTAAGATTAGAATTGAGGATGGAAATCAGATTTTCAATTCAGAAGTAACAATAAGCTTCCCATAGAGAAACTGTACAATAATTTATTTAAATATTTTATAATTATAATACAATTATTGATTATAACAGCAAATATTGCTTTTGTACAACACTTGGGGGATTGTCAAACTCCCTTCATTAACAAACAGCGGAAAATGTTTGTACTTATTTTAGTTGATAGCCTATAATTCTGAAATGTAATAATTTGTCATGGCTTTGGTCGATTTAATGTTTCACCTCTTAAATAAGAAGTTGTTCCACTTGTTGGGTTCCAGGCTATAATGCTGTTATATACATTATATTTTTAATTTCATTTTCAATTCATTTGTATGAATGAAAAAGTAGATTTTTTTTAAATAATAATAAATGTCTTTATTGAATGTTACAAAATTAATGGATTAAACTGAAAACAGACTGACAGTACTCTCGGTCTGTAGACTGTCTGAGGGATTGTCCGTGTTATTTTTAATATTATTCTTTATTATACAATGTAATATAAGCATAAGTCATATATAAGCCACTTTTGTGAAAAAAAATTTAATAATTAAATCCCATGATTAACTAACTCTTCCTTTAAGAATTAATCCAGGCAGTTTTACAATAGTACATATAATAATACATATAAGGCTAGTACAACACTTATTGTTTAAATAACTAAAACCATATTCGCTTAAGGTTTATTATTGAGATGACAGCCTGAATTTTCTGTGTAGAGCAAACTGCTATAAATTGGAAAATAATTTACACTCTATTTTCCAAATTATGCTGAAGTGTATAGTTTTATTAAATTTCTGAAAGTGTATTTATTTATGATAAAATAGTTCGCCTTTAGCCCTGAGAATCCTGTTAATTGAGCCTAAATCCAACTTAGCATTTAATTGTATGTGCTTAGCATTTGCTAATTGTATGTGTTCTACTTTTTTCGAGAATTGTATTTAATTCTTACTTTCAACTAACAAAATCTCCTTTTTCATATTTTCATAGGCATTGTACAGCTTTCAATCCTTAAAGTAAAAAGCAGAGTATCCTGATATATAGGAGGGCTAATGTCCAACTACCCATTTGGTGTCTTAGACAAGGGTCAAACTACTTTAAAATACATTTTTCATATTATACAATTAAAAAGCAATGGGGGATATGAACCCAGAAGCACTAGTGTGACAAATACGAGTCGGATCCTAACCTCTTAACTAGAAGTAATCTAAAAGTTATATAGGTTTCCCAGATAGAAAATATAAGAAATCCGAACTACATTCAAAGACTCAAAGGCAGCCTATCTTATACACAGACAGAAGCACAACCTTATGGGCGAAATCTATCTAATACGGATAAAACCAGCAAAAATAAGCGAGTCTATGAATATTCTATCTCTCAATTTCCTTAAGCTACAGCTTTGGGTATTTAATAAAACACATTAAAAATAATGCAAATTAAATTAATTAATGGCCTGTGTATGCACCACTTTTTCCAATGCAGCAATCATACGATTGGGAAATAAATCAAAATGGCGGCAAATAAATTCTTGAGGGAATTTGGCCCACTCTTTCGGAATTTTTATTTATTTAATTCATCGTCATCTTGAAACTTTCTGCTGCCACTACAAACACTTCTGGCAAGGTTTCCCAGAGATTTTCAATTATGTTAAAATCTGAGGACCTTGCCGGCCAATCTAAAATTTGACTATTTTCTTTCTTTCAAAATTTTCTTACAAATTTTGCCATGTGTACTAGCACATTATCCTGCCAGAAAATGACATTTTCTTTGGGAACCATTTCAAAGTACATTTTAAATTGATTTTCTATCAATGTGACATAGTCTTGCCTATTTAGAAATCATGAGATGCAGTCTGGTGTAATGTAGATCACCAGACCACATCTCACAATCTCTAAATAATTATTAATTAATGGTCAGTAAATATTACACATCAGAGTCAATGTGACCCCCATATCATAAGGCTGCCCCCCCCCCATTTGCCTTTTAAAAAAACACACTTCTTTCCTTAGGTGTTGATAATAGTGAGCCCAACCATCATTACCATCGAAATTCGATGACCAGGACTTCTTTCTATTGGACAGGATCATGGGCACACTTCTTTCGTACTTTTTTGATGTAAGGAGCTGCGCGAATGACCTTTTGAAAATTTATCAAATTTGTCTACACCAGCTCTTGCAGTAATTTGATGGGCCGTTAAAGTAGAGTTGGAAGCTGTCCTTAAAATTGCCTTTTTGTCGTGCTTGTTCAGGAACACGGTCTTCCAGGAGATTTCTTTGTCCCATAGCTTTCTAGATATTTCAAAAAGTTTAAACTTTTCTAGTCCTACCAGTATTTTTGGAGACAAAAATGCACAATCCTCTATTTTTCATTCGCTATATATTTTGCTATTGATATTTTGATTTTGCTCATCCCATCAGGGATAATAATAATTTGGAGAGTAAATATCAAATTTTGTACACAAAGGATTTTTTTTCTGGCATGATTTAAAAAATTAATTTTTTGCAAGGTTGCTAGTGGCCCTTCAGGAGGGCAGGGAGCATGAAAATCTTTATGCTATATATGTTTGTATGTATATATGTCTTCTTGCTCTTTTCATAATAATTTGACAACCTGAGAGGGAAGCAACTTAAGAAAAGAGTTGAAAATGAATTGAAAAAATGACTATAATTATCCTAAATCTTTCCTAGAAATGCACACAGGTTATTGAAATAGTTGATTACAATAAATGTAAATCTAATGTCTCTAAGTAACTTTTGATGCAGAATACTTTTGGTTATAGGTACACTTACTAGTAGTAATTTTCATGGATTAGGTCAATAGTTTCCCGAGGTTTAATTAAGGAAATTTTTCACTTCAGGCTGATGATTACCGTTTTATAAATTCCTACGTTAATGTACTAATGTAAAAAAAATAATAGTGATGTGACTATTTTAATAGCATAACTTTATTGTTACTGAATAAACAATATTATTTCCCGACCAGAGAAAGTAAGTGGTTTACACTTGAGAGATCAATTACTAGGGAAAATAGTTTATTACCTAAACATTAAAGTTTCCCACAATTTTATCTTTTTCCTGGTTGAAAATGAACTCATTCAAAACTATTAAACCATTAAATTTATAAGCTTTTGTAAACAGAAAAAATAATTCTATTTTCATCATTATAATACAATAGGAGTTAACTCTAATTAGAACATCCTGTATGTAAATAAACAATTCAGGCAGTAATTTATATTTTAACCAACTACCATAGATGTATAAAAAATTACACTGTTTAGTAAACTTATTAAAATTAGAAATTTAATCAATTGAAATTTATGTTTGAGAATGAGTTTATTTTTTAAATTGCATCTTGGCCTGTAAGTTTGAAAATTTTGTATAATTTTGTAATCACAAAATTAGTTATTACATAAATTTATGAAGTATAATTTAAAGTTACACAATACTTAGATATTTTTTGTATTTATTTATTTATTTTTTATTTTTTTAATTTCTAGGTGGACCAACAAACGAACAAAGGAGACATTCATCACTCAGTGATACACCACTTGAAAGCAATGTGCTTCGCAAAGTAGCCAGTTTAACTCTTGAAAGGTCTACACTCGACCAGAAAGTCGCCCGCCCCAAGTTTGTACCGGAAAAACTTGATTTTCAACTTTACGAAAAATTTGAAGGTTAATTAAATTGCATACTTTAGCGGCTGAAATATCAAAATTCATTAATGCCCAGATATATTAACAGTTTTGAATATTCAGAAAAACAATTTTCATTCGGACAACCTTGTCTAAGCTTTATACATGAATAAACAAACACACCCACAGATTTCTTACTAGGTCATTGGTGCTTTGTTACATATTACATAATTTGTCACAAATCTCATTGGAAGGGATATGTGGGCAGATTCAGTTTATAATATGACTGACTTTAAACATTTCAAAGGTTCATATTAGTTTGTATAATATGGTCTTATCATATAATTTCAAAGTTTTTGTTTGTTAATTTTTATAAATTCAAATAAGAAGAAAAAATGTTTGTGCACAGGTCAAATGCTAGTGAATTGGTTGCTATCTACATACTCGAGTGAAAATTACCTGAAGAACATCTTACAGGTCAATGAGTGGAAGTTAATAATCATTCAATTCTGTACCCATCTTGTTGCTGCTGGAGTCCTGCGCCAACTCTCTGACAAGGATGCTCCTTTGGAATCTTTTTTCAGGGTGAGTACGGCCAACCAGAAAACTTAATTTGTTTTTAATAAAATTGTTAAATTTTTCAGCCCGATCTTATGTACTATTGGGCACATACAGAAGCTGTCAGTGTGGCACCACCCACACCAGGACGACTATCAACAATATCCTGGCCACCTACATCAGAAGAAGTAGTTAATGGTAAATCTCCTTTAGGTCAGTTTCATGCGCCAACTTGTATTTTTGTTCACTATTGAACAGAATTTGCCCAGAATATATGATTAAAAGTTTGTAATTTTGTGTATTTTTGTTTTATTTTATTGCTCTAAAGATGATAGTGTGAGGAGTGACCCAGAAGTTGACCTGATAACATTAAATCGAAAGTTGAAAGACCAAAGTGAAATAATAAACAACCTTCAAATCACTATAGACAAACTTAATCAGGAAATTGACAAAACGAAGACGCTAGCAGATATTGAAGTATTGGACTAGTTATTCATTATTTGTGTCAGTAGTACTAACAGTGTTATCAATTTCAGAAATTGAACCAACAGATGAAAGAAGATTTTCCAACAAAACTGAACACTGATGATATAAAAACAGCTAGAAGTGCTATTGTCGTAGAGATGGTTGAAAAATCTGTTCAATGCACTGTAGAGAATCAGTCTAGAAAGACATCCACAACTGATCCAGATTTAGTAACAAAATCGACACAGACGGTGATTTCCGAGTGTAGTCCGACAGCTACAAAACAGAGTGTTTTTGTCAATGAAAAGCCAATCACACAAAACACAACAATTATAAAAGTGACTAGCCGTAGTGAAGTAAAAAGTAGTGTACTTGAAATTGTTCCAATTTTAACAAGTACAATCGATAATGGAGGTAAAACAATATCCAAATTGAATGATACATCGAAGGAGGAAGAAGCATCGAGTAAAAAAACTGCACCAGTTACTCGAACAAAAGGCGAAACACCAAAGCTTACAGAAAGTGGTGCACATCCCCCACCACCACCTCCACCTCCACCACCACCACCTCCAGCTGGAGCTGAAATATCACTTTCAGCTACAATTACCTCACCACTACCTCAACAAAAACACCCAGTACCTGTAACAAGTCCAATACAATCCCCACCTGAAAAGGGTACTTCTTCACCTACCCAATCATCTAAAAAGGATGCTGTTTCACCTTGTATGGGGCCTCCACCACCTCCTCCCCTACCTGCAATAGACACTCCTTTGCACCCTCCTCCACCTGGAATAGGCCCACCCCCACCTCCATCACCTCCAGTTATGGGACCACCTCCACCTCCACCACCACCAGGTATGGGCCCTCCTCCACCTCCACCACCACCAGGTATGGGCCC